TACGTAATTAATAAATGTACGTAATTAATAAATGTACGTAATTAATAAATGTACGTAATTAATAAATGTATGTAATTATAAGACTTTACTCTCGCCCCTCCCGAATGTTGAATGAATGTTGTGTTTTTACCATTAATTATTTTTACTCACATTTTCTTTTTGTGTTTTGTTCTGCACTCCCCTCCCCTATTATTGTAAGCCGCCCTGAGTCCCCTCAGGGAAAAGGGCGGCCTATAAATGTTTAATAAAACCTAAAAAACCTAAAAATTGCTGATTACTAGGTATTTTCCAAATGATGCTGAATTACACAGGCCTTTGGTCTGATTTAAAAATAAACTTAGATGATATCTTACATACTGATCTCTGGTACAATCCTGAATTTGCACTCCCAGTAATTTATGAATAACATGACTATTTTTATTACGGTCCCTGACAGAATTGTAAACTTTAACACATTACAAATAAAAACAAAAACAAAACAAGAGGCATTTTATAATTGTGGTGGGTTTCTCAGTGAATAATCAAGCCTGACTAATTTTACCAGGGATTATAACAAAACGTACTACATTCAAGGAGATTGAATCATACAGATCTGATAACAAATGTACATAAATCAGAATTTCTCGGGTGTTTTACCAGGTAAGGAGAGATAAAGTAGGTCCCTGAGTCCTTAGACAGAGTAATTGCAGCCGGACATGAGCTGTAGTTTCAACAACTCCTTGTGGGGAGGGCACATTTTCAGCTCATAGGGATTTTTTTTTTGTATTGGCCCTCTAAACTGCAATGGGGAGAAAACATTGGAACAGGCTAAAGTTAGCACTCCTTGGGATTTGGAAACTGTTATTATGTGGGTCAGTATCTTGCTGATTTGTAAAAAGAGGCTTGACTATTCAGAAAATAATGTTCTTAGGTAGAACAGAGGCTCCTGTTGGAGCTTCCAGGTATTTGATATGTTGTCTAAATGCACTTGCACACTCATAACCCATCATCAGGAAGACTTCCCTGGGACAGCTGAGATATTGAAGTGTTTGTGAGATTGTCCTGAACCATATTGATTTGTAATTGTCCCCAAGTAAAGAAAGTACTCAAATCTGTGGCAAAGAACAGTAACTTCAACCAATATGCTACGATGCGGATCCAATTACCTGTTTCAACTTCCTTGCCTCCTTCCTTAATACCACATTTGGAATGTAAGGGTTTCCTAGAATATAGACCTTAGGGATTTGTCATTTCAAGACGAGTAAAGGAAGTGTAAGATCCTAGTTGGGCACTGAGAAGTAGTGGTACATGAGCCTTCAGTGCTGCTGAAGTGCTGCTTACACCCTTCTGGTGAAGTGAAAAAGACTTAATTGCGGCCATTGGTTTTTTTAGTATTTTCTGTGATATAATTTTCACGTGCAGAATATTTGTTATAGCTATGGAAAACCATACCCAAGCACTTAAAAGATTTCATTATTCAATACTCTGGCCATTTATCCTCCGGGCACACAGTTTAGATTTCTTAGTTTCACTATGGTTAATCTCAAGTGCTTCCTCAGAGCAGTAACTGGAGTTCATTTAAATCCAAATAACATTTGTGATAGAAATACAATGTCACCTGCATACAACGAAGTTGCAATATATCTATTTGCTAGTTTAGGGGTGTGGTATTCTGGTTATTTCAGCCATGAGTGGACTTATGTACAAATTAAACAGCAGGGAGATAAAATACATCCTGGCTCACTCCTGCATAAGTTGGAATCTCATCGGTGTATAGAATTCATACTACAATTTTTATAAATGCTATGGAGAAGCAACAGTTATCATCTTTTGATGGTAGTACAGGTAGTCCTTGAATTACAACACTTTGTTTTATGACCATTCAAAATTACAATGGCACTGGAAAAAGTGACTTATGACCATTTTTCACACTTGTGACTGTGCAGCACCCCATGGTCACGTGATCAAAATTCAGATGCTTGGCAATGGACTCATATTTGTGATGGCTGCAGTGCCCTGGGGTCATGTGATCACCTTTTGTGACCTCCTGACAAGCAAAGTTAATGGGGAAGCCAGTTTCACCTAACAAACATGTTATTAAACTTAACAGCTCATTTAACAACAGTGGCAAGAAAGATCACAAAATGGGGCAAAATGTGCTTAACAACCCTTAGCTATAGAAATTTTGGGCTCAATTGTGGTTGTAAGTAGAGGACTACTTGTATTCATAGCTTGATTCATATCCTTCCTGGGAACTATATTGAATGTGGACCTAAAATCAGTAAATGCAGTATATAATACTAAGCCGATTTTAGATGTATATTATCCAGCCTGGTGTTGAAGTATCAGACAACTAATTTGTTGTATAATGGTCACGCCTAGAACTTATTTATTTATTTAAAAGGCTATAATAGGCCTATAATTAGCAGGCAGGCCTTAGGTACCTTTTTTAAAAATGGGCACTCTGATGGCTAGCCCCCGATCCTCTGATATTTGCACAGAGTGATCAGTATAAGCAAGCAGGGAAGCAAGAATTGAGGCGCATCATTCCCAGTTACTGTGTAATATTTCAGGAGCCTTACCAGGCGTCAGATGATTTATAATTCATCTTTATTTCAGCACTGAAACGGGGGCTCAGCAGGTTAACCTTACAAGTTAAATTGGATTTAGGAGACACTTCTTGTGACTATAGTGCTTTAAAATAGTCCTCCCACATAGATGCAGGTACGAGTTGGGGAAGGAGAAGGAACCTGTCAATGTGGTGCCAGCTATCGGGCACCAGAGTAGAATGGTATTTCTGGCTTGAGGTGTATGTTATCAATTGCTGCTAAGATGCGCAGGGGATTTTCTTTTCTTGTTGTGCAATAGCCATTTGTATTGTTTCTTCAGGAGTATAAAGTTCTAGATGGAGTTTTCAGCCAGCTTCTCTTTACATAATGTGAATTTTCTAATCAGTACTTACTGTACTTTTGGCCTCAAAACATTCCGTGTCAAATTACTCTACCTTTTTATTTTGTTTGTCTTGCCTCCCACTTTCCTCAAACCTAATACTGATCCCTGAGTTTCCATTCCTTGTAGTAAGTTTTAGCCCTGGTTAAACCATAGAACAGCTTGAGGGAAACAGTTCCTATGTCCACATTAATAGGTACTGAAACAACTTTTCAAGCATGTGAAAAGTCAGTGCTTTACTGATTCAGTAGAATTAACCACTTGTTCAGCATCCCCCCCCCCCAAGAATTAACCAGTTTAAGATGGCCACTCCAAAATTTATCTGTGATACTCTACTCTTACTATAGATGAATGCTACTTCAAGAAGAGATCTACAGTCTGGGTATCTCTTTGAAATTTTGTCCCAAACCATTGGTGGCTATGATGATATCCTCCCATCAGAAGTAAGGAGGTAGTAGCAGGGGGGAAAGAGGTCTTCTGGAAATGGATAAAAATGGATAAACTTATGGATAAATATCAATTTCCAGAAGAATGGAAATCAAGTGATTTGCTTTCTCACTATGATGAGTTCTAAATATTGAGCCTGAGCTCTCAATATTTGATGAGGCGATTCAGTTTGGAATATTCTAGAGCAGTGGTTCTCAACCTTTTCTTCACCATGGGCCCTTTTTAAATATATTTTGTGGCCATGGGCCATGGACCACCAAGACTTAACTCAAGATTGAAATCATAACATTTCTTCAAGCCTTCGCAGACTTCCTGTAACATCGCGTCTCCCAGGTGTCTGTGGATCACACAGATTGAGAAGCACTGTTCTAGAGTATTTTTTGCCATGGGAATATCAACCTCTCAGTCTTCCAACATTTCAACATTAATAGGACAGAAATGAAGAATTGAAATGAAGCTTGACCTTGAAACCCTTACATAAAATATTTCAGCTGACTGAAGGATCTAGAGTCCTCCAGCCCTGCCTTGCCATATAGCAGGGAGCAATTTTTTGGTGCTAAATGATTCCTGATGGAGGTGGAAGCTCAGCGGGGCTTCCTAAAATTATCCAAAGTTACATTGGGTGCAGGCAGCAAATTAACCAGCTCTGTGGGGCCATCTTTCATGTTGGCATACATGCCTCCCGATGTAACAGGAGGAAAGCAGACATGTAAGATGAAACCCTAAGCCGTGTGGATAAGACCTAAGATAGATTAGACTGCAGACATTATTAATATCCCGAAGAATAAATGAAATTTGGTATTAAAGGTGATTCACTCACTGGTATTTATCAGGAACTGGTTAGAAACGCCAGGATGGTCAACATCATGGATAGCAGCTGCAAAAATGGCAGCCAAAATCTCCAGGTCAGTGAAAACAGCCTGGGAGAACGAAAGGAGAAGAAACAGCATTGGAAAAGATGAAAGGAATCAATAAATACATGAATGGAACACTATATCTGGGATTTCACACTGTATCAGTGTAAATAGGAAGTTACTTCAAACAGGGGGTTGAACTTGAAGAACCCCCAAGGTTGCTTTTAATTCTGTGATGCTACAATTCCATTATTCTATAAACTACACGTGTCTTCTCTTACAGCTTAACAGAACAATGGATAAATTGGCCGGCCATGCCATAATTTTTTTTCCCTTGGAAGAATTAGCTTTTTTCTCTGAGTATCACAGAATTCAAAGATCCTCCTAGTAAGGGTTTAATTGAACAGCTTGTTCTTGTCTTATAGAAAGTCTCCCAAATGAATAGAGTTATTGTAGGAGTTGTTTGCAGGATGGTCCAGTTCCCACCCCAGGTTTAGGTAGGCAGTCTTGTGGATGAAGGTGTCTCCTTTGTGACTTGTTTGCAGGATCTCGGGAGCGCACACTACATTGAAACTGGAGTCAGAAGGAAAGAGCTCAGAGGCGTAGTTTCAGCTTCAACCCAGTCTCGAGGCCAATTGGCTGTGATAATACCATCTCTGGACCATCCTGCAAACAACTCTTAAAATAACAGTTCAGGTAAGACCAACTGTCATTCCCAGCCTATTTCAAAGCTTCCCCCACCCCACCCCCCAAAATAAAGCCTTCTGTAGACTCACCTCCAGAGCTGGCATTGAAAGCAATACGTGTGTGGATTGGGCAACATCAGCTGCATGAATGTTGTTGTGGTAGGCAACATCAGCATGGTAATGATCTTCCAGGGTCATCATGAATGTGATGAAGGTATCCGCAGGAATTTGAAAAGATTTCAGCAAGTCCCTTTCCTACAAGGTGGACAATACAGAAGGAAGCTGCTATGATCTTCCTAGTCAAATCAGCAGGGAAAGAGGGAGAAGAAGAGCTGGAGGAAGAACTCAGGAAACCAAAACTGGCCTTTCTTCTGAGATTTCAGAACTAGCCAAGGACAGAATAAATCACTTACTCTAGCCAAAGTTCCTTAAAAAAACAACCCTATAATTTCCAAGTCAATCCGTATGATGCAAAGTAGGCATGACAACGAAATGCGTTAAGGCTTCAATGCAATGTGGAAGTGACCATTAGTACCTAAAAGATTATTTACCTAATGTACCCGCATTACATTATTGATCAATCAATATACATATAGGCTAACCTACTTCTTTGGAGTCTTCTTCCAGGCCAATGACCCTGTTTAATGGTAAAACTGCAGTATCTCTCTTCTGCCATTTAGCTTTTGACATTTCAATAACAACTTTGTGAACCTGATACTTTTTGTGAAAAAGAGTCGGCTCACCTGGAAGATGCTGTACATGATGACTGTTAGTGGGCGGTGGCCAGAATACTCTGCAATCTTGAATACATCAAGGCCCCATTTGTTCACATCTTCTAGCTCCTAACGGGGGTGGCAAAAAAGGGGGGGTTGCTACAATGTTGGACTCTGCCAAGTAACAAAAGTAGAAGCAAAATGCCTCCCTGACTTTCCAAATAAGAAGACTTACCTGAACAGCATATAAAATAACTGAACAGCATATAAAAAATTACTAAAGCTTTCAGTAGGAAGACAATTAAAATAAGCCGGAGAAAGTACATCAAAAACCTCAAACTGACTTTCAGGAACTGTGATACATTGCAAGATTAAATGTACTGATTCACAATATATTGTGCTCAGTTGAAAGGAGGTAGCATTTAGCAAAGTGGTATTGCAAAAACTGAAATGGGCTCCCAAATTTTTATATATTCACACATATACACTGTATAGGTCTGTGTGTGTGTATGTGTAAAGCCATGTTCTTGTCTTGTTTCTTATCTTTCAAATTCCTTGCGTTTTCTTTAGTTCCTTTGCTTCCAAACCATTCAGTTTGTCTTCTGTAAATATGCTTCCATTTTCCACTGCCCTCCCCTTATTTTTCCTTTCATTCTCTATTTTTCCATTTCACCACTCACTCAGATATAGTTCTTTCACCTCTTCTCAGTTTTTATTTGAGTTCCAACATTGCCCTCTGGATTTCTCCCTCCCTCCCTCTCTCCCTCCCTCTAGTTCCCTAAAGAATCCTGTCTTCCTTTCCTCCTCTTGGTTGCCCCTGCCAGATGCCCTTCTTCTTTCGCCCACCAATCAAAAGAACAATCAAATTATCATCAAGATGTTTTACAGCAGGTTTAAAAACACTACAATAAGAATGAAAGAGTAAGCAATTAAAATAACACGAAATTGGCAAATTTCCATGCACGTAACAAGCAGCACAATTATTTTCACACACCCCCCAAAAAGAGTTTTTGCTTACGGCTCAACAGGAAGCAACTAAAGGGAGTTCCACAACTGTGGAGCCACAATTAATGCTACCTGTTCCATATCCCCTCCCTCTCCCCACAGCCTTCAAACTAATCTGCAAACCTGGGAAAAAAAACAGAGCTCTCCATTCAAAGTAGTCTTCAGTTAACGCTCTTACTGTAATTAAGCTATGCAATTTGGAGATTAGAAACTTCTTTTTAAATGCTTCGGCGGAAGGACTTCTTTATGTTGAGTATCAATCCTGCATTTAGACAAAATTCAGAATACGTATATACAACTACAATACGTAGTGAACCATGCCAGTTTCTCTGTTCCAGTCTTTTCTGGTGCCTGGCATTCCTCACCTTAGCCAATGCCCCTTCCTGATCCGTTTTTACTCCAAAACGAGGGATGACAGCACAACTGAAGCTGGAGCCATGCATCAGTTTTTTCACACCACTGATCTGTGACATTGGCTGCTTCTTTTTCTCCTTGTCTTTTTCTTTGGGAACAGAGGTTGGGATTTCCACCTCATGCTGCTTGTCTGGAGGAGACAGAAAATACAATAGCAATGGAACAAGTCCAATTACACGAAGATCCCCCAAATTCTTCAGAAGCTTGTGGGAATTCCTATTGAGCTCACGAATGACAATAGGGAAGCTCCCCTAAAGAAACAGATTCCCTGCAATGAAAGGAACAGAATATAGGCTGACAGCTTAGATGATTTGATGGTTCACGATACGATCCAGGACCTTTATGAACTTCCTTTAACTGTGATGGAAAAAAAAACTGTGTCGTGACAGTATCTTGAAAGTCTCCAAAGAATCAACATAAACCAAACCAGATCTCTGCTCCTATTAATCTGAGGAGCAGAGCCCTATTGTCCTATTATGTAATATGGCACCTTCCATCTCCACGAAGCTTTACAAAATCTAAATTCAAGACAAAAAGTAAGAGGAGGAGATAGAGAAACTGTATCTTGTGAATCCTTTTAAAAGCACATACTCTTTTGGAGTTGGGGGCTCAGCCTTCTCATTTCAAAGTTGCTATGAGCTAGCAAATTCCCTATCCAGCATTAACAACTGTCCTTCTTGAAACAACATTTCTGAAACCAAAGAGTTAAGCATGCTGAAAAAAGTGGAGTATGAAAAGCCCCCACCCCTGCACGAGTCTCCTGCTGTTCAAAGGGAGACCCTCCCCCAATATTGAGGCACAGAAGGATTGACGTCAGCAGAAACTAATAATATTACAGACACCATGGCAACCAGAGACAATGCGTGGTGGAATGTCGGTCCTTTCCTCAAAGTGATGTTTCTAAGACCAGCCAGGGTCTCCCCACCTCACCTGTCTTCTCTCTCTCTCACACACAAACACATTCACATACACGTATATACTCAAATTTGTACAACACATGAGAAAAAAAAGTCACATACATGGAGAGAACAAACGGGGAGAACTTTCTGTTAAACTATTTTGCAAAAAGCAAGGCTATAACCTATGTGACTTTTCTATGATGTTTTAATTTTTAAAAATTGCTAAGCGAAATCAGTTTATAAGCACCAATCGTGATATAATCAACGCATATACTTTATATGTATGAATACATATGAATAAGAACAATAGGATTAGGGTTTCCTTCCAAGATAACAGCTTAGAATGCTTTTGGATTGGTCCATTTTTTTTCTTTATAAATTATAAACGTTCGTACTCATTTTCAGACCAATTTCTTTATTGTAAGACTGTCATTATCTGGACTACATACATCTGGATGATTGTTAAAAGGCAGCAGTTAGAAATTAGACAACTCTAACTTGCTGCAGCCACCTAGTGGTTGTCCAGATGTTTTCAACTTCGAGATGGTAATTCTATTCTAATTACTCTTTTTTAGAAGTGTTGTATTTTAGACATATTTTTTCAATGACCTTCAAATACAGCAGAAGTTTCAGTTATTCAGGGTCATCTATTATGGATTTTTTAAATTTATAAAATAATTAAATAAAAATAAATTCTATTGCATGAGGGTGACATCCACTCACTAACAGAAGAACTTTAAAAGACATCTTCTCTTGCAAAGCTAAGAAGAATGTACCAATTTTGCCTGCATCTTTGCCTCCTTGAAAAACAAGAAGGCAGATTTCAGTAGAATTTAGGCATTTATTTTATAGCTGAATAAAGACCAATGTTTCCCTTCTTTTGCCAGTTTCAGTTTGCATATCAAAGTCAGAATACATATATTGTTGCCTACTGTTCTTGTGCATTATCAGTGCACTTGATGTATATGTGGCTATTTTATATATTTCTACATAGCTTCACCTACAATTGTTTCTCCAGGTGGCTTACAACAAAATTATTATCATGGAATAATAAGGGCAACACCTAAATCACTATGAAAATAGATTGTGCAAAGGATTAAAAAGTGTGCAAGAGAAGCGTTTCTCTCTGAAGTATTAAAACAGCCACTTCGCTCGCAAAACTCATGCAGTTGTTTCTGTCCCAGTTGTCTCTGCCCGTATGTGCATGCATAGATAATACATGTGGGGGGGAAAACTGTCAGAGAAATAAAATAACTGGACACAAATGCATATACAGAAAGGGCCAGAGAAAGATTTCAACATAGTCATGCCAGCCTTGTCAAGGAGACGGTTGCCTTCATATTTTCAACAGAGATACTTGGAGAAATGGCTCTTTTGAATGCTATGCCCAGTCTTGATAGTAAAAATGAATAGGGGAGGGAAAAGGAGAACAAATCAAATAAGAAATCATTCAATGACCCTTCATATTCAGAAGTCTTCATCAGGATTCTAAAAGATATCATTGGAGGCATGTGAAGGATCCTGATGAAGACCTGTCTATTCACCTTGGTCTTCTGAATATGAAGGGTCATTGATGCTGCCCCCAGAGTGAAAGCCTACTTGCCTACTTGCATGTGGGTGCAAGATATCAATGTCTTCAATAGAGCATATATAGAAGTACTGATGACCTATTGGACTAAGACCATTTTAACCAAGTTTTTAAATTGTCTATATTATTATTCTCTGGATATATCCATTTTTTGGCCAATTTGTCTGGCTGAAAACTGAGGATAGCATTTCATGAATCAGATGAAATTTGAAGAATTAAAGTCAGATACATATTATTATATTTGGCTAATCTCTATATGTTTGCATTACACTATTCACATTTGGTAAGTGGTATACTACACAAGAATCGATGTACATTTGCTGCCCAGCGTAACCTAATTTTTTAGACTCACCGATGAGCCATGAAAAGGATCTTGTGATTGCAGTGATTATCTCAAATAAGACTCAACATACCGTCCCTATTCAAAAGGTTAATTCCATTTTGGGAATCTTTAGTAAAAGAACTGAAATTAAATTGACTTTGCTGTTAGTTGATAAATCATCACAGCTGCTATTATATTTATATATATTTATTTTGAGGATGTGTAATTCTTTTAATGTTTTTAAATTGCTTTATAATGTTAGAATTGTAAGCTGCCCAGTCACTTGATTGAGTAGGATGGCTATAGAAATTGAATGAATGAATGAATGATGCTATTAGCTTCATAATTCTAGTATACAATTGCTAAACTTAATTTTTTTTATAGTACTGGAAAAGATGCAGAAAAGAATAGCCAAAACAACGCAGGGCTAAAGCTAATTTGCTAGCAAGAAAACATGTAAAAAATGTAAAAAGCGGGAATTTAGATAAAAAAGATATACATTAGAGGAGATACTCTAGATATGGATTAGAATAGTTAAAATGCAGCAATGGTAGATAAAGGATCTCTCGGGAAGAGAAATTTAATGATAATTAAGGGAACCACTTTTCAGCAAACAAAAAGTTTAACTCCGGTGTTCACCGTCCCAAGTCACAGTGATGCTTGCCGACTTGAATAGTTTAAAAAGGAGATTAGACAAGAACAAGGTTGGCTGTTATTGTGGTGTATGTATGTCGCCATCAGTATCAGATGGAAGTACACTTCTGACTATTCATCACGGCGAAATACAGAATAGAGTTGGAAGGGTCTAATCCAACTTCCTGCTCCGTACAGGATCCACTAGTACATCTCTGCAGTTTTACTATCCAGCTTCTGCTTGAAGATTTCTAGAGAAGAAGAACTGATCATTTCGTGTGGCAGACAGTTCCACTGGTTATCAACTTGTACGGCCAGAAACTCAGCTTGTACATGAAGAAGATGGCATTTATGTCTTTATTATAGAATTTCCAGGGATGTTCAGTTTGTCAATGTAGGAACAGAATATTGGGCTAGACAGCTTGGTAAGCCTGCTATAGCACAGCTCTCCAAGATGTCTCTTTATGGTGTTTTAAAAGAGATTAGTGGTAACCTCACAAGAAGGATGCTAGTTGTTCAAGAAACCTGGAATCCGAAAATACTGCAAAAGAATTCAGTTTTTTTCACTTGTATTTCTAAGGTTCTTTAAGGCCTATTGCTTATGTGCCAGGATCAGAAAGAGCAGTACGCATTTTAGGCTACTGTAGAATAACATTTCTTTAGCAGTTTACGTCTGCCTCCCCTTAGAGAAGTGACTGGCCCACTCTTCCATATCAATTTAACAATTTTCTCAAGAATTGCATTTGGAAGACCATAAAGCTGATGACTCACCCAAGAATGTGTTGGAGATGTACTCGGATACCTGGTTTCCAGAACGGCTTGTTTCCGAGAGGTGTGTCAGCTCCCGATTGAGCATTCTTCTAAACTAGAGACAAAAGAGGAGAGGAAATCAGCAACCTGTAAGGAGCCATCACAGCATTAGCATCAGGAGCCTCTGAATCCCATGTGCCTGGCCTTAAAGATGCCACTGAGCAGGCAGCCATTGTTAAAGAAAGAGATCAGTGGCAAGGAAAGATATTTCCAATGAAGTACTTCAGCAGCAAAAAAATATCTCTACTTCTTAATTTCTGAATTTTCTCAGCTGGCTTCTGGTTATATTCAGAATCTGAGAAAGGATTGCCAAATTGCAAGCAAAGATGTCCATCCACTTGGATTTCTAAACATTAAAATAATAGGTATCGAGTTAGCATAGAACCTGAGACAGGGAAAATGAGTCAAAAGAAAGCAAATGTTGAAATGTGCAGAGGAAAAGATGAACCACATCAAAGTCTTTTGAAGAGCCACAAACGTATTATCTACCTTCTCGTTATTTTGTAAGCTTTAAAATTATGCACATTACTGGTCGCATATATGGCCAAGGAGAAGATGAAACATCAAAGAAAATTTAAAAAAAACAATGACTTGGGGGATTCTGATTGCACAAATCTTAGCTAAATCTTCAGTTTTACATTTTTAAAAGTGAAAATTTTGAAGATTTTCAAACATCAAAGGTGAACTCGGGAATCTTGCTTCAAAAACTAGTGTAAAAATTTGTTTTTATTTCTGGAAAAGAGGAGAATACCCAAGAAACTCCATAAAGAATTGGGTGATAAATACAAAGATACATTCATGTTGTATATTTTACTGCTTTTCTCAAACATGACCTAATTCCAAGTCAGATGTGCTAGATCTCATCCATACCGAAACAAGCCTCCCATCCTATTATAGGATTCACCTTAATGAAAAAAGAATTATACTTATGGGAGACAATGTGGAGTTACATTCTACAATGTGGATTAAGGCACCTGGTCCTTTGCTAGAATTGTTTAAAAATTCAGCTGGTGGGAAGAAGAGTTCTGTGTAACTCAAAACACACACGATTGCCCCGGTTGCATTATTTTGTCCGCTTTGTAATAAGCTTCTTTTATAAATGTCTCTTCAGCAAGTGACATATTATGTTGGGAGGGAGGGACAGGCACCCCCCCCCGCCACCCCAAAGTACTGTTTCATCTGGCTGACAGCATTATTCAGCCAGTTTCGCAGAGTTCCTTCGAGAGTATTTTCAACAAGGTTAAAAAAATAAAAGCATTACTGACGTATCAAAAGCAGAAACCTCCCCTCAGCTCCTGAGATAAGGAGAGGATACCTGAACAATTAGAGAGAGAAAAAGGCATCCCCACTGCTGCAGAACAGCATGCATTTAGGGGTGTGCGTTCGTATGTGTGTGTTTGTGTGTGTGTGTTTCATGTTTTGTGTCTGTGACTAAATCTTTGCAGCGGCAAAACCCCTTTCCTGCACCCTTTGCTGGAGAGATTTGCCGAGAGTTGCATTGTGTCAGGGAGTCCCCGCTTACCTTGATGCTGCTGTCCCAGAATGCGAACAACGAAGTGCTGGCGTCAGGCATCGCAACGCCAAAAGTGCCAGCTTGTGTGCGAGCCCACCCTTCTCTCTGAGGCGCCCTAGTCAGTCCACGGATGCTCATACCAAGGGGCCCGAACTACCGTCCCGAGCTCTGCAAACAAGGAGCCTAGGACTTGTCTGCAACGCTGAGAGTCAGGACCGAAACTGAGGAGGGGGACAAAGTCCCCCCCCTGCATCACAGCCGAAGAAAGGTTCTTCCATGGATGTACCAAGGCTGCTCCAGCATCAGGTACCTCTCCTTTCTGCTGCCATCCAATCAGAAGCCAGAGGCACAGAGGCTGGAGCCAGCTCAGCTCTCCCATTGGCTGGCAGAGCCTCTGAGGAAGGCGATTTGCTTTAACCCCGATGGTGCCCAGGCACAACAGAGCATGGAAGAAGTTGTTTCCAAAAACTCTGTTTAGCAACAGCCAAGGCTTTCAGAGAGACCGGGGAAGGGGAATACTGGGAAATAATCCCCTCCCCCCCCATTTCACCTTCTTCAAGAAAACCATTGAGAGGGTCTTCTTCCAAAGGCTGGAGAGGACGTTTTTCCTTTTGTAAAAAGGACTCACAGAGATATGAGGGAAGGCTGATCTTTTTCAGGGTCTGGGAGTTGAAGTCCACAAGTCTTAAAGTTCCCAAGTATGGACACCTCTGGCTTAAGCTAAAACTGAATTTGGGTAGCTTGGCATTGGTTGGTGGACTATGCTCCAGGTTATCGTATTAAGCCATCAGATAGTTGTTGCATGTTATATAAACCTTGCAAATGGGTGTTATTACACCATTCTCATGATTTGGAGTGTCCCCCCCACATAGACGCTCACTTTTCACTGGCTTGTAGCACAGTGTATCTCCACCCCCCAACATCCATTATTATTTTCCACTCTGTTGAAATCAATGGACCAGAAACTTGGGAGTATATAAAAAAATTGAAAGAACTTATTTTATTGCCTTGAATGACAGGCAATAAAAGTTGCCAGTCATTTTAGCATTTTGAATACTGAGCCATACTGTTGTTCTACCCCCTCCTAACTAATTGTCTTCTCTGATTTTTTTTCTCTGCTTAAATACATAAAAGTTATTAAAAGAAGTCGCTTCCGATCTCTTCTGACCCACATCGTGGTTTGTTTATTTGTACGACTGGTCAACTGAGGCTGCCCTCCAGGAAATTCACAAATGCTTCTCTTCCGAGGGAAGAATAATGTGAATGTGGGGAAAGGCACTGGTTGGTGGCCAGTGGCCCAGAGCAGCCCTCCCCTGACTCTAGTTCAGTGTTTCTCAACCTTGGCAACTTGAAGATGTCCGGACTTCAATTCCCAGAATTCCCCAGCCAGCAATCCCCCGCCTGGGGAATTCTGGGAATTGAAG